CTGAAAGAACAATTATGTAACATTATTCCAGCAATATTGAACATGAAGTTGCCGGAAATAAAAGTGGAAATTTACATTTATATTTTACCAATCTTTATGTAATACTTGGTGAAATAGTTGCCTTTTAGTATTATATTTTTTATTGAAATATACAAAATAACAGAATAGTTTTGTTTATTGGAAAGACTATTTCTGGTTTGATACGTTGAAGAGTAAAGCAGTTAATTTATCATTTTAGCACAGAAACAGGAAATTGCCTACTATTTTTATTACTGCTTCTCTTAGGAAGCTTCTCTCATGTAGTCACTCTTGAACCATAAAAATTAAAGTGTGATTAAATAATGCAATACAAAACTGAGCTATGATCTAAGTCTAAGCACTCATATTCTGTTTTGGTTCAACATTGAGTCCTCCTGGTTCTTACTGTATATGTAACAATCAAAGATACTATCTTCGTTAATTTCACACACCAGACTAGAAAGAATTGGATATTTCATTTTCTTTATGCACAGAATATATCCAAGTTGGGGCAAATACAAATAAATATTGTGGATGAGCTCAATGGCTACACTATGATAGTATTTGAACTGTTACTAATCATTCAAAAGGAAAACGATGGTTGTTTTAAGGAAGCTGTGCAACTTACTAAAAGGAAGGATATACTGAGGATAATCTAACCCCCCCCCCAAAAAAAATCTAAAGTACAGGTAAAAATGAAATGGACAAGCATTAGCAAGACAACAATGAAAAAAATGGATGCTTGCCTTTAATGGACTAGTTTTGCTTCCCTGCTGTACTGCCTTATCTGGGCAGATGCATCATCTGAGAGGGATAAATAAAGAACCTCAGGTGTATATACCGAGAGTAAATATTCCCAGCTGGGTCATCCAAGGTGTGAAGGTCATCCCAGCTGCACATCAAAAGCAAGCAACCACCTATGTGGGGCAGTATTGATACAGAGAAGATAATATAGGGAGATGATTACTGTAATTACAATGGAAAAGACATCAGTTCATACTGCATGGAAGAAGGAAATGATATATAGGTCCTGTAATTTTACCAAGAAAAACCACATGAATAGAAAATATAAAATTATTGATGATATAGTGCCAGAAAATGGGCACATCTGGATAGATAGCACTCAACATACTACTGAAGAAGTACTGAGAACTTTTCAGAATATTAATAGTGTTTACAAAGTAGTTAAAATCTGAGACATCTAGTTGCTAATGTCATACAGGAAAACAAAATTTGAAGCTGCAAAGACAAAGAATTACAGTGTCAATATGGAATGTGAGAAGCATGAATATAGGAAAACTCAACACACCAAATCACATCACATCAAATCAGACCTTAATTATGGTCAAAGATAATGATCTTGTTATAAAAGATGGAACAGTTGCACATTGACATTTTAAGCACCAGTGAATTGAGATGGATTGTGACTGAAAACACTTTCCATCAGAATATCAAACTTTTATTCAGAACATGAAAAACAAAGAAGGAACAGTATTGTTGTTGCTTTTATTGTGAGGAAGGGTATAGAAAGAACAGTCTTTGGCTACAATGCCATCAATGACCAAATAATATCAATTAGATTTTGTGGATAACCCTTTAGGTTTATATTCCTACCACCAATGCAGAAGAGGTTCATGAGTTTTATGATCAGGTTCAATCTAAAATTGGCAGAACATACAAACAAGAAGTGCTAATTGTCATTCGAAACGTGTACCCTGGAGGGTGACAAAGTTGGAAAATTAAAGAGGAAACTGCTTTTGAATCTTATAGTTTCAAAGACCAAAATAAAACAGAATGGCTTAGCAATTGTGACCACTCCAATGATATCTTCATACCTAACACCACCTTCAAAACCCAATAACACTTGTAGACATGGACTACCAGAAAGAGTACATTGAAAGCAAAGTATTATTGCTAAAGGAAAGTGAAGAAGCTTACTTATAGCATCAAAGATATGGCCAGATCCTGACTCTGGAACAAATCATTAACTACACATGTGCAAATTCTAAAGAGTTTCACAGAACTAGATAATGCTTGACTTATGACCATTTGTTTAATGACTTTTAAAAATTATGGAGGATATCATTTGGCAAATAGAAACTATTTGAAGATCAAGCAAAGATGGAAGGAGTATACTGAAATGTTGTATTGGATGCTGGGAAAACTAGGATGAGAGGACGACCACAAGCAAGATGGATGGACTCAGTTTACATGTAGTGATCACATAGATTTTTTCCATCATAATCTGTCCCCAAGCAAGATCTTCAAGTCTTCAATCAGCATACCAGTTATAGTACGCCAATTGAAGACTTGAAGGACTTGGTTGGGGACAGATTATGATGGAAAAAATCTATGTAATCACTATGAGTAAACACTGGTTGGATGACAATTAATGGCTTTCTATATGTGATTCATCTACTTCCATTTGTAAGTCTGTTGAAGATCTTCACAAATTGTTCCCTGAGGACAAGGTAGGTATTTACCACCTCAACCAGTCACTTAATTTTAAAAAGGTCCTCTTTCTCTGGAACTAGTTTCTGGGTAGAAGACTGGTCTTTGCATTAAATAATTGTCTTAATAAAGAATCCAATATTTGATTACCACAGGGTGTATTATTTAGAATAATAATTTCCAAGACTTTCTGGTAAAGCTTTGCAGTATAATGCAAGACCTTCAACAAGATACTAAAGAGCTGGAACATTTGCTTAAGTAGATAAGATGCTGTAAACATTTGCTTATACAGGTAGTCCTCAACTTACAACAGTTCTTTTAGTGACCATTCAAAGTTATCATGGCACTGAAAAAGTGACTTATGACCGTGTTTTACACTTATGACTGTTGCAGCACCCTGTAGTCATGTGATTGAAATTCAGACACTTGGCAACTGACTCAAATTTATGACAATTGCAGTCTTGGGTCATGTGATCATTTTTTGCAATCTTCTGACAACAAAATCAATGGGAAAGCCAGATTTATTTTATAATTGTGTTACTAACTTAACTGCAGTGATCCACTTAACTGTGGCAAAAAAAGTCGTACAATTGGGCAAAGCTCACTTAACAACTGTCTTGCTTAATTACAGCAATTTTGGGCTCAATTCTGGTCATTCGTCAAGGACTATGTGTATCAAATTGGCTTGCTAAGATTCTTTCAGGAAGGATCTGTCCCACCTTGATTAAAAGTTGCAGCAATTACATCTTCTTCACAGAAGCTATTTAGTCTAGGAACCTTTAAAAATATAGATTGTCATTTTATCATGCTGGCTAATGAAGGTAAGAAGGATTTCTAGAAACATATAGAAGATACTTACGGTATTATCCTTACCCAAAATGGAGAAAGGCATGTAGTTTAAAACACCTCCATTCTTAAATGATTGAGGAAGAATACAAAAAAAAAGGGGGGGGGAAGCTGAAACAATAGTCTGGAAGGGGGGAAGGCTTGAATGTGGCTGCCTCTGCAGCTCCCCAGGAAGTATTTTTGGAAAGCAATATTGCCCATCAGAATAAGTATCTATCAGAAATAGATACTTCTTCAAGTTGTGCTTAAACTGTGAAAAGGAAAGCCTAAATATTCTGATTGTCTCAGTTTGAGTTTGCTCATTAGAACAAAGGTGGAAGCCAGCACAGAACACTAACAGATGTAAGCTTGCCTTTTCCAGGCAGATTGTGCCTGATCCTAGCCCAATATTTGTCTCCAGTTCTTACAGAGAACAAGGATTACACTATGTTTGTACAGTGGTTGCACCATGTTTTTTTAATGAGCAATGTTGCAATATAAGTGTAGAAAAATTTAAGAAACAAGTTCTGCTTTGTTGAAGTTTTTCATTTCAAAATGAAAATGTATTTTGCACAAAAATATAGTGACTGTATAGACTGCAAAAATAAATCTGTAATTATACATTAATAACAATTTTCAGAAAATTGAACATTTTTATCTTCATATGACAGCAAAAATAATAGTTTGATCAGTACATCAAATATGGATTCACTTTATATCACAAACTGTGTGTGTATGTGTGTGTATATGTGTGTGTGTTTAAAGCACACCAAAATAGATAATTCTGGATCATTACTTCTAGCATCTGCAAAGATTATGAAACCTTTCTGTAATGGCTCTTCTAATAACTAAAATCAGAAGAAAATCTTGTGTTATTGGAAAAACTTGTGAAGTCTTGCATTAGTGTGATTACCACATGAGAAAATAAAAAAAATCAGAAAATTCTAATTCTATAGTCAAACACCAGATTGATAATTTAGCTGAGCATATCAAACTCTAGTTTAAAGAAAATATCATCTTGCTCTTAGCTGTGATAGTTATGAACGATAAAGGAAACTGTCTTCAATTCCTTGTCTAGGCATATTAGGTAACTAAAGGGAATATGGAAAATAATTTTTTTTCAAATATTGAAGATATTTGCTATAGCTGCCAAAAGATTTGATTTTTAATTGTATTAAATTCTTCAAACAAAACTCAAGTATGAAGAAACTGAAAATTTGTATTGACAGTACTCCATATTGCTGAGGATTACAATAAAAAATTACAAAAATAGACAATATTTCCAAAATATGCCTCATTCAGCATCATATATTACCTTCTAAATTCTGCCCTTCAGGCGAATAAAAAAGAATCTTGTCAAGGAGTCCTTGGTGCTTCTCTCAGCTTGGTTGTTTTCTTGCAAGCATTTTATTATCCAAACTAGGTAAATGTCTATAGAGATTTTCAGCCATCCAGGTCATGGTTGTTCCAAAGGTGCTACTCAGTTCTGAACTGAAGAAGCTTCTTGGATGAGAAGCAAAAAATCTTCAAGGAAAAACAGCCCAGCTGCTTTTTGAAAAAAGCATCTTTGGGCCAAACTAGGCAACATGATCAGCACTAATCTCCTTTATCGGAATCTTGCCTTATTTGCTTTGTGAAAATTCTTTTGTTTTGTTTTGTTCTGTACTGAGGTTTGTTATCAAAGAGAAATATGCTTAGACAGTCTGTATGATATGAAAGAAGAAGCCACTTTATTTTTGGAATATTGTGGAAAAGATCAAGTGATTGAGGCTTACAAAAATCAGTTTTCAGTTGAAATTAACATATATGACAATAGAAGCCTTGAACAAAGGAGTCTACATCAGAATTACTTTATTCCCAGCTATGTATGGTGAAGCAGGTGTAAAACTTTATATTTATCAACATGGGTTACAGTACTATGCTGAACTACACTGGATTAGATATGTGGAACTTGTAAAAGAATCTTAACCTTTTGTTTATACAAGAAATGTATTGCAGGGAAACTATCTCCAACAATTGAGGAGTCTGCAATTTAAACATTTGTACTGATGCTATACTAAAGTTACTACATGTGTCAAGACTCCATTTCAGTAAAAAAAGGCAGGATTATATTCTCTTCGTTGTTTATGATTGTCATGATAATGGCATTGCCGGTTCTAAGATTCAATACTACGAAGATTTATGGATAGAAAGTTACAATAAAGTTGTGCATAAATATTGGGTGTACTTGATCTTGATAGTGTGATTTCTAAGGTCAGTTGGTGGCAGCCCTCAGTACTGAGGGAATCCTTCAAGGCAATAACTTTGGTTCAGATTTGGGTGAACCTAACGAACTCTGTTATTGACTATGCCATGTTAGACAGCAGTGGAAACCACTAAAACGGCTAGGTGATTGATGATTAATGGTTATGATTAAATATCAAAATGTGAAATCCTCAGTTTTAGGTTAACAGCACACAGTAGTGTCATCATAACTGTTGTCCTTGTGGTCTGACGTGTTAGAAAATACTCTTTTGAAAAATAAGCCCTAACATTTTACTATAATGACCTCTACATATTGAATAACTGAAGGCTGATTGATAAAGGTTCACAGGAGACCATTCTCTATAAATCTGTAAAATAAGTTATGTTGGATTGTTTTGCAAAGAAATTGAAAGACAAGCAAATGAATAAATTTCTGGGCTCTTTGAATGTAACTCTATAAGTCTAGAAGTAATTTGTTGAGAATGAAGTGAGCTTGAAATGGACAGATTTATAATTAAATGTAAGTACAAGACCCAAATGGAGCTACAGTTTTATTAGTGAGGACAAAAGGGAAAATGTTTTTCTACATAATAGTAGTAGTACAAAGGAATCTCAAAAGCTCAGCGTTCTAGCTTTCTTAATTATCCGTGATCAGCTGCAAAGGAGAAATGCTAAAGCTTTACTCCCATTAAGAAATCTATGGCATGAGGTTTGCAGATGGGTATTTTTGGTACCAAAGGAGGAAAACCAGTAGCCTAATCTAGAGCTGCCCAATATCCATAACAGTCAAATGACTCCTGATATGGTCATCAGTACTGAGTTCTCTCTAAATTTAGCTCCAAATTCAATCAGCATATCCTGAAAAACATGAACCCCATATAGTAATATTTTCATGGGAACAAAGATCTAATGGGAACTAAAACAAACCATGTCCCAGTCTCTCAATTACATTTTAAATAGTAATGCTGAATGAGCACGTCCAGAAATACGAGGAAACTTTGTTGACCCAGGAAAATCCATTTAAATGTATATTCATTCATTGTTCCATTCATCAACAATACACAATGGGGGATGTCTCATTCAATTATTTATCAGTCATGTTATTATTCCTCCCAGTTTTTATAAAGGAAACTTTATTCTTTTTCCACTGGAGCAAATAATAAAATGAAAAAGTCATGCTATTGTGATCAGGCTCTATATTACTACAGAAAAGAAGGACCTGGAAAGACCCTATTTTGAGATGCCTCTCTAGAACCATCTTGATTGTGAAAAGCATTGGTTAACCTTCCAGCCAAATCTTCATATGACCAAATTAAAATGTGGCAGATTGCTTAACTACAAATGGAGTACAGATAGTCCTCAACTTTTGACCACAATTGAGTCCAAAATTTATGTTGCTAAGAGAAACATTTAAGAGAGTTTTGCCCCATTTTATGACCTTTTTTTACTATAATTAAGTGAACAGTTGCAGTTTTTAATTTAGTAACATGGTTGTTAAGTGAATCTGGTTTCCCCATTGATTTTGCTTGTCAGAAGGTTGCAAAAGGGTATCACATGACCTTGGGACACAGTAACCGCCCTAAATATGAACCGGTTGCCAAGCATTTGAATTCTGATCCTGTGACTACAGGGATGCTGCAATGTTGTGTGAAAAAGGGTTGGTAAGTCCCTTTTTTCAGCATTGTTGTAACTACGAATGGTCACTTAATGAGCTGTTTAAGTTGAGGACTATCTGTATAATAATGCTGTCAGACCTACTTCCCCTTAGGTTAATTGGATAGATAAACTGATCTGTTTTTCTGTTTGTGTAACATTCTAAAATTTATGTTAAGTCTTCCATAAATCAATAAATGTAAAACCTTGAGGGTGAGGTATGAGAGCTCAATGTTAAGAGGAATGTGGGCTGGGCAAGTAACTCAGGAAGGAACCTCCCTGGTTTCTTGGGCTGTAAATAGGATGGGAAAAGGAGAAACATACTTTCAAACTTGCAAGATGCTGTTTATGTATAATAAAGTAGAACTAGCTCATCTGATCTGCCCCACAAGGCTGTCATAAATATATTCAATCAGTTCCATCCTCTTGCTTGATGCTGTCTTTAAGTTAGAAAATAGGTGAGTGGAGAGAATGTCTACCCAGTTTATGACCCACCTGGTTAACAATATTGGTAATTAGCTACTTCAAAAAAATAAAGAGGGATAAAAGAAATGAAGCAAAATTGAAGATCACAATCCAGGAAAGTCTTTCCTAATCAGAGAATATGGAAAAGACTTCTTTGTAGAAAGAAACTTCCTTTATTCATAATTCTTCCTGTCATTTTGAAAGCTGCATCCATTATATTTTGCCATTACTGGTGGTTTTCCAGAACAATGCTTGTAATTTTCTGTGTCTATTTAACAGCTACATCTTTGCATTCAGCTGGTGATATCTTAGAAGGATGTTTTTAATTTCCTAAGTCTAAACAAAGATACAAACAAACAGGAAGTTGGAAATATCCAAGCATGTGGTGCAATTTTCCCAGGCCATGGTTTTAATGAAACAGTGACCCTGTTGAAGCTTTATACTGAGCAAAGACCTCCAATCCAACTGGAGCTTTTGGCTCCAGATGCTAACCTACATATATATTCTGCAATCACATAGCAGGTGAGCTTTGGACATTATGCCAAGCAGATCAAGCTATGCTAAGCAAATCATGAAAGCCACACCAATCAGAAATATGGTGTTCTCTTCTTTTATTTAAGAAATTATAAAGTTCTAAAAAAAAATGAAGGAAAGGATATTTCCATGAAGAAATGAAGTCTGAACAAGAAAAGCTAAAAATGGGGGGAGGGGGAGTTGCATCTGCTTAAATATGAATGCAAAATAAACCCCAAAAGCAAACAACAACAAAAAAACAAAACATGATTCACTGTCATCAGAGTAAGGATGAGTTCACTTTTGGTACCAAAGTTCTAGCACAATATACCATCAAAATATGGAAGTAAACTGCAAATTTCTGCATGTTAGTAAGCAATTGCTAATTTAAATATGTGTAATTCCTATTCCTATAGGAAATTATATTAAAAAAGACCCTGGCACTTAAAACATGATAAAGCATAATCTCCTTCTGAAAATTCCTTTTACTTTGATAGCCTATTAATGAATCTACCTCAAACTGACATACATTGACAAGCACTGGTCAAGGCTCAAGAGTTGAAATGTCAAAAAATACTGATTTACCTTTGTTATGAATGTTTGTTATACTTTCCTAATATGTATATACATGCAAGACCCATTTCTTAAGAGGGAAACAGGCTACAGAGGGATTATACAATGTTCGAGAACAGGATTGTACTACTAGTCTACCACAGTCAAAAATCTTAGATTGAAATGTAGTAAAATTATTTTGCAATAGTTTATTTTACAGAATTATGTGGATTAAAACAGTCTAGCAAGACTTGATGTACTGAACCTCTATAAAAGTAGCCTAAAGGAATAAACAACGATAACCTATCACAGAACAGGATCTGGATTTTTGAATACAGCAGCATTTAACTTAAAACTGATTAAAGACAGAGTGACTTTTCTATCTTCATATAAGAATAATTGTAAAAAAAAAAATTCCTTTAAAATGTACCACTTCCAATGCTTTTATTTTTCATAACCTTGTGAAATTAAATGCATGAAGCTACAAAATTAGCAATTGCTTTGAAATTTGTATACAAAACATAAGTTACCTCTACTTTTAAACTCATTTTTTTGTTGTTGTACCACTACAAACTTTTAAAAGTGGTACCCAAAATAGCTGTATACCATTCTAAAAAAGGGCACTATTCCTTTAATATTGTATTCTCCCATTTCCCAACACCCAGATCAAAATAGACAACTAGTCATCCTGTTCACGAACATTTCCAAGGTGAGATTTCATATTACGTTCCCATAATTTCTGGTTGTCAGAAAACCCGTGCTTTCCTTTGTTGAAAGAATTTGGTCCTGCTGAAGTAGGAGTATCTCTGCAAATGAACAAAAGCAATTGGTTTACCTTTACTAATTCAGTACTTTAGTTCAAAATATTTACAGAGGCTACTATTAGAAAGTGAGAACACCATATCTATATGCAGTTGGCAGCAGTATGTTTATAATCCTGAAATCCAAAAATTTGGACACGCTTTCTTATGGCAGAAGGTAAACACAAAAATATTTTCAACTGCTGTATAAATTCCAAATTACAGTCCCTGACTTATTTGGAAATAATTCTAGAAGAACTACATAAGATTTAGCTTGAACACATAGCCAATATACTAATATAATGAATATTGTTCTACCATTTTCCTACAATATTACTATGAAAGATATGTTACCTTCCAATGTTCTTCATACGCATTTTGGCTTCTGGAGGCATCTCTTCAGGTTCACTCTAAGTAAAAAGTCAACATGAACACAATTATTTTGTTTATATTATAGAGAGTTTATCTATGTGGACATATTTGTTACTTTATGCTGATCTTGAACATCAGCTCCTAGCACACAAATCAATCATATATTTTGTTATGTTCAAACTTAATAATTTATTATTAATAATCTCATCCAACCTAAAGTTTATTGTTTAAAATCTTGTATTAATACCAGAAAGACATAATGCAGCTCTTGTAGTTAAGGCAACATACTGCCCCTAGCCTACACAATCATTAACATTTAGAGCTATGTGGAAATTTAGATTGAAAGGCAAAAAGATGCTTTGCACTTCTAAGGCTACAGTATTTATCTAAAAGCCTTTAAACCAAACATATTTTCCTCAGGATTGGCAACTGTGTGATTGTTGATAAAGGCACAGCTTTTTTGTTTATTTACTATATTCTTACAATTAAATTTGTACATGGCTCAACTACCAACTACTCTAACCAGTTCCCAATTTTTTAAAAAAAAAAAAAATCAGAAAAACAATATAGTAAAAACAAGGAACATAAGATGGGGAAGAACAAGAAGCAGTCCCACACTACCCAATTACCCTCACCAAAGGCTAGGTCTTCAAGGTCTCTAGAACAACCAGCAGGGTGAGTATTTAACAAGCTATAGACCTGGACTACATTCACATTCCTGCACTTTTCTCAGTTACTTACATCTTCATCTTCATTAAAAACTGCTGCTACAGAGAGTGTTTTTGGAGCTAAAGTTGGAGCAGGTTCTTTAGGTTTCTGAAAGAGAACAAAGACAGAATTTTATAGATGGAAGAAATCAATACAATAGTAATTAAAAGCATGCTATAACCTTAAGTAAACTACTTTACTAAACAGACTGACATTTTACTAGAACGCTACCTTTCCTTAACCCTACATTACATGGGAAATTGTTTCCAAAACAAGACAGCTGAATTTATATACAACTAAAACTCTCATTCCTGTAACTTTTAACAGGGTGAAAGAATGCATTGTAGGGCAACAATGTTTGAACCAACATTTACCTCAAATGGACTAACTTACAAAATGTGTTCAACATCCAGGACCCACGACTCTCACAGAATTGAAATTTGGCAAATTTTATGAAACATTTTGTGATATAAATATTATAAAACAGTTTTGTAACATAATGCAAAATGTCATAAAACATTTTGTGCTGATGTTTGAATGTGCTATATAGTTTAATTTGTGCTATTTTCAAGACAGATACATATCTAAATGTATCCCAACTTTTCTAGTTGGGAGTATGTAAGTTCTGTCATTGTTGAAGGGATTGAGGAATCTGGTAAGGAAATATCTCTATAAGGATGATTCAATGGACCATGGATTATCTCCACTGTACTAAATTCAGCTACTGGAAGAAAATAAATAAGAACAAATAAAGTCTATATACTTTATGAAACAAATATATTTTTAATTATTTTTCCTGAATTATTTGCTGCACCATCAAGATCTATCTCCAACTGTATGTATATCACCAGAATGTGGCTATTGGAGAGAGCTTGACTATGAAACCTTTACTATAAAATGCTTTGCTGAGACAGATTTCCCCCTCTGCTTATTTTACTGTTAATTTGGCGACTTGGCCAAGTAACTTTTGCAATTTCAACTTTTCAAAAATATATATATAAAGTTTAAATGGTTTCGAACTTCTGTAAATATTTTTATTGACAACGTATGTATGCAAATGTGTACTTATGTATTTATTATACTTGTCATCCACACAGCAACTCAAATTACTTTTTGCAAGCCTTCATAGAAAAGGTGACTACCCCTAAAGTGAAAAGTATTTCTACAAGGTTTTTGTAATAATAAAAACAATAGTAATGATAATAGGTCAGCCTCTTGAGTAAGACTAATTTGCTTTTTTTTTTTTTTTTTAGCTTCCAGTCATCATTGACTTCTGGCGAATGCCTAGAACCCATGCAGCTTTCTTGGCAATGTTTTTTGCTACTGCCTTCTTCCTATGGCTATGAGACTACGACTGGCCCAATGTCATCTAGTTGACTTTATGCCTAAGACAGGACTAGAAATCATGGCCTCCTGATTTCTACCCTGGTGCCTTAACCAATGCTGGCTCTCTAAGCTACTAATTATATTCTTATAAATGAATTCCTATATCTTTAATCAAGGCTGCAGTATTAAAAATTAGTAATTTCTATTTATTTTTGTCAGTATATAACATTACTAAGTTATGCATTCAGCACCATACTACAGGAAACACTAGAATAGAAATTATTATACGAATTCCATGTCCCTTGACATAATTGTTCATAAAACATGACAATAAAAACCATTTATAATACACATGGCTTAATTAAGATGAAATCAATATTTCAGGACTATTATTAATGTCAAATTAATATTTATCCATTCAAACAAATACCAAATATTGCAAATTCAAAACATTTTTAACAGCTTACATTTGCTCCAAGTTTGATGGATATTGCAGATGGTTTCTTTGAAAGCTGTGAGCCAATGGCAAACCCAAACTTGGACATTTTGGCAGGAGCAGGCTTTGTTGAGAAGTCTTCAGCATCTTCATCAGCTGCACGTTTCTCCAAACTAGCACTCGAGCTTTCCCCTCCATTACTGGAAGAAACAGTCTTAGTTTTCACAGGTTTTTCTGCCTCTTCTTCAGGTCCTGGTGAAGTCGAAACAACTTACCAAGATGAGCTATTTTTACTGAGTGGACTGATGGGAGCAGCAACCTCATAAAGCACTGTTATTCAGAGGCGACTTTTGCACTTACAGTGTCAGCACCTCCACAACTGTTTATACAGAGCACACTGTAAGGACATAGACATATAGTGAAGGGAGCTCCTATCACTCGGCTAATGCAGAATAAAAATATATATGTAAATATATTTTTAAAATCATGCATCCGCATGTCATCCCTATGAAAACTGTAAGAGTCATTTCACGTCAAGACAGAATAAATCCACGGAGGTAATTGAAATATATAACTTTGAAAATATCGATTTATGCTGTCTTGAATTACAGAAATATAAAAAGATCATAAAATTGAAAATTCTAACATTTAAACCACGAATATTTATGCCACAATTCTTAAAACTAAAAATTGTCATAACGCTTAAGGTTGGTTTACTGCAGCAAAAACAAACTTTGCCATTGGCTAGGTGAAATTTAGCAATGTGAGATTTTATTTAGCTAGTTTTTAAACATTGTAGTTGTTGCTGACTGGAGTTTAGATGATTTCTCCCAAAACTTAGCAAAGCTGGACTGGTCACTATTGGCATGGAAGGGCACCAGGAAATTCCAGAATTATAGACTATACTGTGAAGCTGAAATACACACTGAAGTAAAGCAATAACCAATCATGTCGACACTGTTGGCAAAAAAAATATGAATGTATCTGTGAAGCCATGATGAATTAAGTCCAACATGACAGTACATTTCCTTTTTATCAACCACGAATTTGCCCAAGATATGCATGCACTCCAAACAAACTAATCACTTTGTTCAATTGCATAACTGCTGCTGGTAAGTTTTGATATTTTTTTTCTGTTTACATTCCTTGAAATATCCAGTTATTCATAAAATATTCAGACCCCTTTTATTGTTGTCAATTTTGTTATGCTGCAGCCTGATTCTAGTTGTTGAAATTCATTTTTTTCCTCATTAATCTACATTCAGTATCCCATAATGACAATGTGAAAATAGAATTTTACAAATGTCTGTAAATTTATTAAAAAAAAAAGTGAAATATCACATTGGTGTAAATATTCAGATCCTTCACTCAATATTTTGTTGAAGCACCTTTGGCAGCAATTACAGCTTCAAGTCTTTTTGGGTATGACGCGACAAGCTTTGCACACCTGATTGGGGGATTTTCTCCCATTCTTCCTTACAAATCCTCTCAAGTTCAGTCAGGTTGGATGGTGACCATTAGTGGACAGCCATTTTCACGTCCCTCCAGAGATGTTCAAGAGGTTCAAGTCAGGGCTCTAGCTGGCCCACTCTAAGACATTCACAGAGTTGTCCCTAAGCCACTTCTGTGTTGTCTTGGCTATGTGCTTAGGAATGTTGTCAGCCTAATCTGAGGTCCTAAGAGCTGGGGAACAGGCTTTCACTGAGGATATCCCTGTTCTTTGCTCCATTCAGCTTTCCTTTAACCTTGACCAGTCTCCCAATCCATGCTGTTGAAAAACACCCCATGCTGCTGCTACCATGCTTCACTATTGGGATGGTACTGGGCAGGTGATGAGCGGTGCCTGGTTTCCTCTAGACATAATTTTTAGAATTGAGGCCAAACGGTTCAATCTTGGTTTCATCAGACCAGAGAATTTTGTTCCTCACAGTCTGAAAGTCCATCAGGTCCTTTTTTGTAAACTACAAGCTTTCATGTGTTTTGCACTGAGGTTTCTGCTTAGCCACTCTGCCATAGAGCCCAGATCGGTGAAGGGCTACAGTGACGGTTGTCCTTCTGGAACTCTGTTCCATCTCCACACAGGATCTCTGCAGTTCAGTCAGAGTGACTATTGGGTTCTTGGTCACCTCTCTAAGGCCCTTCTTCCCCAATTGCTCAGTTTGACTGGGAGACCAGCTCTTGGAAGAGTCCTGGTGGTGCCACACTCTTCCATTTGAGAATTATGGAGGCCACTGTGGTTTTAGTAACCTTTAGTGTAGAAATTTTATTGTAGTTTTCCCAGATCTGTGCTTTGCAACAATCCTATCTCTGAACTGTGTGGGCAATTCCTTTAACCTCATGGCTTTTGCTCTGCTACAGTATGTATTATCAGCTGTGAGGCACATAGAGAGGTATATGCCTTTCCAAATCATGTCCAATCAATTTAATTTACCACAGGTTGACTCTAGTCAAGATGTAGCAACATGTCAGAATTTTTTTCTTTTTATTAAATGCTAAAATTCTGTTTTCACTTTGTCATTATGGGGTACTGAGTGTAGATTAATGAGAAAAAAACAAATTTCAACAACTGTAGAATCAGGCTGCAGCATAACTAAATTGACAAAAATAAAGTCAAGTCTGAATACTTTATGAATGCACTGTAACTAATTTGTTGTCCTTAGGGATTTGGCTTCTGTTTATCCTTTATTCATTTGAGTCTGTGAACACCTCTGTTCTCTTGGGACTACTAATTTGGAATTATGTCTGCTATCAGTTCATTATGCTATGCATTGCTAGCTAATTCAAACAGCATTTATATTTATGCAAGATCCTGCAGAATGTCACAAATTCTTAGGAGTAATAGATGTAAGATTGCTGGGGCCCAATTTCAGTTAAGCATTTTTGCTGAGTATTTAGTGTCATAAGTAGGTCAAGATTAAGTAGTCTCTGATGCAAACTACAAACTGAATGAAGTTATGATCTGAAAATGTGCCTTCTTCTGAATTCCAAAAGGAATAGATTTCAATCTATCTTATGATCCTCTCCTTCATAGAAATCTTATTCTTCATTTATCACATAAATATGAGGATCACAAATCTGCAGAGGGTAGGAAGAGCAGAATTAATCTGATAGGCTTCTAGAATTAAAGTAACTGCCTCTCCTTTATCACCTGATCTGGGTAACCTCTGTTCTCCATTAGCTGGTTCAGGAATGTCTATAACTATGCTTTGCAGACTATCACTTTTGAAGGCCCAAGTAGACTGCTTGGGAATGCCATCTTCTGTGTGAGTAAAGAGGACATAATGAGGATCAGTACCTTGTCAAATCCTAGGACAGTGGTGGCGAACCTTTTAGAGACTTAATGCCCAAAAACTGGCCCTGCCCCCACTCCACCCCCTGCTCCACCCCCACCCCGCCTGCCTGCAGGGTCACTCACCGCCTCCAGGGCCCACTGCAGATCGCCCAGCAGCGCCGTGGCGTCCACTCCCTCTGCCCACGCCCCGCAGTATCAACTGTGCGCGATGGGGTGTGAGGGCAGATTGTCTACGCTGTCTGGCTGCCATGTCCTTGGCTGCACTGCTCTGCGTGGGCCACGCTCAGGGGCGACTCTCCAGGGGGGCTGCTGGTGAGGAGGGGGTTGCGGGGGGAGGCAAGGCTGGGGCAACGGCACGTGTGCCCACAGAGAGGGCTCCGAGTGCTGCCTCTGGCACCTGTGCCACAGGTTCACCACCACTGTCCTAGGAGCTAAACTGAAGGATACTGGGTTTTGCAGTATATAGTGGAATGGGCGTGAATTCACAATTCTTATTCCTCTACCAATACTCACCCCCATTCCACTGTGTACTGAAAAACCCACTATGTATCCTTCAGTTTTTGCCAGCATCATTTTGTCAATAAGTGTAGAGGGAGATCCAACTAGTAATTCTTGTTTTAAATTGGACAGATTGCATGTTGCTATGCTGCTTTTCCCACCTCTAAGACTAATCCACCTTCTGTTTTTTCACTGGAAAACATAGATTATCTTTTCAGTTCCATAATTCGGATATTTCCAAGTTGATGCAAAAGTCTGCAACAATGCCACTTGAATAAACATTTGAGAAGTTGACTTTGAGCAGTACTAATTTGTTACAGAAGCTTGGTCTACAAACCAAACTAGTTGCACTTATTGTTATTAGCATGGATGCAATTCATTCATCTCTGCATCTCTTACCACAGAAATACAGGATTGAGATAGATCAGTGAAAATGAAACACTGTTAACACTACATAATCATATGTTCCAGTATATTCTTTCTTTAGCATGTTATTTATATGCAGATAACTATTAGTTCCATAAGACCAGCAAATGTGTGTATCTTTGCAGACCTGGCAGAGTTTTATGGGTCTTGTAGTTCAGCATATCTAGAATCACTAAATTCAAGAAGGTTGTTCCTGAAGGAAACAAATCATTATGCATCATGCATCATATTTATATATGGTCTAGTTAGTATTTAAGTATGCTACTAATGCCCAGATAAGCATCCATGGAATTCCTGTGGGGCCATTTTATGGACCTTTTATCTCATAATAACTATAAAAGAATACTGATCACATTCTACAGCGAATAACTTGCATTCTGAAGTTACTGAAAAGAGCAATATCCACGCCAAGCTTTATCTGCAACCCTCTTGCATGAGAGTGACGGCCAGATATTCTTCCAATCGCGCAATACATGCAAGGAGCTACTAGTCTACAAAGGTACAAGCTGGCCTGTCTACAGGGATCTGGGCGAACCTACAGAACACTGCGGGGCTCTGACATGGACTAGATCGTCACAAATTGCCTGCAGATTAGATCGCGAGTTTCTTAGTGAAAAAGTCTAAGCTTAATTAAAGCCGATGAACAGGCATTACGAGAGCCAGTCTTCGCACGGACTCTCGAGAAAGGAAAAACATGTCCACACAGAACTATCCCTCGACCCCCAGCCCTAAGAAAATTTTCATGTTTTAAATTAAAACCTTGGATGAAAAAAAAAACAGGTGCGGAAGAGGAATATGAGCGCAATATGTTCACCTCCGTCAAGCCGCGGTCGTTTCAGCTTCACATCGCCTCCTTTCTCGTCCGCCATTTTTTCTCCTCCTCCCTCCCTGCCCCGTCGCTACTGCGCTGTGAGCATGCGCAGTGAATTGGTCCTCCCACGATCCATCCGGGAAAGTCAAGAGGAGGCTAGAGGAGCTTCTTTTCCTAACGCTGAACTTGTTCTTAGTGCTTTGTCCGCTTCTGCTAGGTTTTTTTTTTTTTTTTTTTTTTTAGGAAACCTGTAGTTTTCAGTTGTAAAGGCGGCCGTTAAACAGCTGCGGCAAACATTTGATTTGCTCGACGGTCCTCTGGACACGACATCGCTATATAGTTTCTATCGCAATGGCATAGACAAACCGATTAGGTTCAAGAAATGTATTTGTAATTATCGTTGAAAAATGTCTGTTTCATAATACAAGAAGTTACCGGAAAGGAAGTGTAGTACTACAAACCTGACATTGCTGAACAGACTATAAAACATAAAATATTTTCTGTGACCAACTCCTGATGTTTCACTATGCTACACAGTTCAATGTGGACTATTTTAAAGCAAATGCTTTTCCAGTGAAGGCAAGACATTAAAAGTTCTATCATTGTTGAATCTGATAAGATGGTATCTTGAAAAGCTGACCCAATCAATTACGGGTTGAGTGTAAATGATCAATTTGCAAGCTACTGAAGTATAACTTATTGAATTTGTAGCACAAAGTCAGTAGCTAAAACTACTTCAGCAAACATTAATATCTGGTCAAAATAGACGGAACTTGCACACCTTCACTTGATGTCATAGAAAGCTATACTGTGTTTCCCCAAAAATAAGACCCGATCTTATATTTTTTTTAACCTCAAAAAGAGGCACTAGGTCTTATTTTCCGGGGGATATTTTACCTTAGGACTGCTGCAGCCGGGCCACCCACGCCCCAACACCTGTCGTGCCGCTGCTTGACTTCTTCAGTGGCCACTTGTTGGCACTTGTAGCAAGACACCACGTGGCGCATTGCACCAGTGCTGCTGGACATGGCAGGATCTGTGTGGCACTTCAGGCCGTTTGCAGGAGGCTGCATGGTGCTTTGGGCCGTTGCCGCTGATCATAGCAAGGCACCGCACAGCGCTTCAGGCCATTTGCAGGAGGCTGCATGGTGCTTCAGGCCGTTGCCGCCGATCATAGCAAGGCACTGCATGGCGCTTCAGTCCGTTTGCAGGAGGCCGCATAGTGCTTCAGGCCATTGCCACTGGTCACAGCAAGGCGCTGCACAGCGCTTTGGGCCATTTGCAGGAGGCTGCATGGTGCTTCAGGCCGTTACCGCCACTCATGGTGGAACGCCGCATGACACTTTGGGCTGTTGCCATCAATCACAGCAAGGCGCTGCACAGCTCTTTAGGCTCTCTGCAAGAGGCCATATGGTGCTTCAGTGGCAATGGCCTGAAGCACCATGTGGCATCCTGCTGCAACCGGTGGCAATGGCCCACAGTGCCACATAGCGTCCTGCCATGACCAGCAGCACCGGCCTGAAGCACCTCATGGCATCCTGCCACAACTGGCAGCACTGGCCTGAAGCACCATGCAACCTCCTGCTGCCAGGAGCGGCAACAGCATGATGAGCCACACAGCACAAATGTTGGGGCATAGGAGGCCTGCTTGCAGCGGTTCTACCAGTTAAGTGGGTGTGGAGTGTGGGGTAGCTCTATCACCCTATCCCTGCGTTAGCCTGACTTTTAGGCATGCGCCTCGCCACAAAACTAGGGATTTTGGGGGTAGGGCTTATATTAGCCCCCCCAAACCAAACTAGGACTTATTTTGGGGGTACGTCTTACTTTCGGGGAGTCATGGTATGATCCTGTGTGGCCAAACTTTAGTTTGACTCGAGCACCGTATATAGGTAGTCAACTTACAACAGTTCATTTAGTGACTGTTCAAAGTTACAACAAAAAGAAGTGACTTATGACCATTTTTCACACTTATGACTACTATGGCATCTTCGTGGTTATGTGATCAAAATTCAGACCCTTGGCAACGGATTCATATTTATGACAGTTGCAGTGTCCCAGAGTCATGTGATCACCCTTTGCAACTTGCTGACAAACAAAGTCAATTGGGAAACAAGATTCACTTAACCATGTTAACAATTGCAGTGATTCACTTATCAACTGTGGCAAGAGATGTTGTAAAAATAAGCGAAACTCACTAAACAAATATCTCATTTAACAACAAATTTTGGGCTCAATTGTGGTTGTAATTTGAGGACTATCTGTATAGATAGATTTTTGTTTCATTTTGAGATTTTTGGTATTTTCATTAATACAATTTTTTTTAAAGACAAGGACTTGCATAAAAAATTATTTTGTGCATGAAATAAATGTATTTTGGCTCAAAAGTTCAACTGAACAGCGACAGTTCAGCCAGCTGGACTATTTTGTTTGCTGGTCTTAACAGAGACAAACTCAGAGGTTTTACATGGGGTTATAGGGCAAAGCTGATGGGACTGTTTTCCCCACTCCATTTTCCCTGCATGATTTATGCATCATCCACCATTTGATTTTTCTAGTTCTGCATACAAATGTAAAATAGCACTGTTAGAAAATAGGCCCAACACAATTATAATTAAGTAAACCAGTCACATAGACACAAAGAACAAATAGGTAATAAATAGGAAAAATCAGTGTGTACAACTTACATTTCTAACTTTTTAAGATTCCTATATTCCATGTAATGTGAACAATTTAGCCAAACAATACACATCATGAATTTGCTTGTATTACGCATGAATACAAGTTAATTACCATGTTTATGGCATTGGCATCTGCTCCTAGCAACAGCCATTAAGGAGCTAAAATAAACATATTCTCGCTTGTCGATGTATTTTCACCGGATAAAAGGAATTGATTTTCCATCAGCACCTTTCTTCCAATAAGCACTGCCACTGCCACTGCCCATGAAACCTGGCACATTCTACCAGCCTTTTACTCTTTATTCTGATGTTCTTAACATCTTCCTTTTTCTTAGCTGCAACGGGGCCCTGTGGTGACCTGTAAATATGAACATATGTTGGACCGAATATAGATCATAACAAACTGGTGATTTTGTGCAGAGAATGGTCCATTCATAAAATGTTTTGCACTTCTCCCTTTTGCACAAATCCTTTTTATCTCTGGTGACTACAGAAACATCAAAAGAAGCTTAAATTTTGGAGATGGAATCCTGGGATGGAATAATCACAATGTTGCTATATTTTAAACATTGTTAATATTTTTGCACCTTACGTTTGATGTGTTTAAAACTGTGGCAAATCACCATTTCCTTTTAGATCATTTGATCAAAAGACAAGATATATGCAATTATAAAATAATTAGATCAAAAACATTTAAAACATATTTTAGTAAGTAGCCCTTTCTATTTAACAAGTCTAACTTTTTAAATAATGCCTGAATAATTGAGACAAAGATACAATTGAATATTATCCAACTTTTCCCCTCTAAAATAAAAAGATCATACACACAATTCACTTTTTTTAATAGTTACTTTCCTCACATAGTATTAATTCCTGAATAAAATCAGAACATTTACAGTAATTTGAGCTCCTGGTTGTTTATCAAAATTCACAATACTGTAATCACATATTCCCCTGTATCAAAATTGGGAAACTACATTTACATAACTTTGTTGTATGAGACAATGTAATGGAAAGCAGAGAAAAAGCATATATTATATTACACTGGGGTTAGCGACAGACCTGAAGCATTAACAATTACTGTTGTCTTTAACCTGACATCTGTTTTTTCAGCCCCATTACAGACGTTTTCTCAGTAGTCAGAAGCGATGATTCCTATATATTTACAGAGTCCTCCTATGATAAAGCTACATGTTTTATCATTATCAGGTTCTTTAGTCTATAGAAGTTGAAAGCTTTCTGAGGACGAATGTTATTTTACATGAAAATGTATACCAATCATAACTGGGTGATTTACACACTATTCTTCCCACAATCCATTCCACAAACGTTTCTTGGAGAGCTCCTCTACCAATAGCTTTTTTTTAAAGTTTTGCTCATAGATTTTTTTATTCTTTTGTCTATGAATATAGTGTTGCAAAGATGGATCTAAAAAACCTTCGTGTTTTCTTTTTGGAACAAACTCTAGAGCTTCCTTCCAATTTCCAGTATTTTTCAGAGTTAGTAAGATATTCATCATTTGATCCAGAGTAAGAACTTTGGCTCCAGTTTTCCAATGAAAGTATCTTTCTAGAGGAAGTTGTGCTGTTGCCAACTTCAAGCGCTTTGCACGAGCAAGAGAGACTCCCTTCTTTATCGTCTTATCAACTAGGGATCCAATTATATAGATTTTATTATGGTCAAATGTTTCCATTACATTGGGAGAATCAGCAGTTAAGTAGACAATCTGATCTCTTGGAAATATTTCAGCATAAGACTTTTCTGTCACTGTCACAAACAAATTGTCCCATGCATCTCCATAACGCTTGAGGAATTCGTTGTGGTATGGACCATCTTCTTTAAAATTACAGTAATATAAATGAAATGGTTCTACAGCTTTACGATTGGCTCCTTCACATTCCATCATCTGTTTCACTGTATTCTGCATCTCTCTCTCTGACATATCATTGTAATCCATGTCAAATACCAGAGGCTGGCCAAAACTCATAGCCTGAGCAGCTTTCCAGTTGTACAAAACATCCATTGAGGAATCCCAAATGGCACGTAACAATCTACTTTTTGGTATTAGCTCTTCATTGTCCATTGTTTTTCTAAGTTCCTCCCTTTCTTCCTGTTGTCTTTTTTTTTTTAATTTATCGGCATTCTTTCTCATTTCTTTTGAAGCCAAAAAGGCCAAATACTTATTTCTTGAAGTAACAGAAGGATATTCAATCAACTTCTTTAACTGTTCTTCAGTAATATTTTCTGGAGCAGCTTTTCCTAAACGCCTAGACATGTCAATATATTCCTTAATAGCTGCTATATTAGGCTCTTCTTCAGGCGATGCTTTTTCAAATGCTTCTTTTTCCAAGCCAGAAAGCACAACCAATTTCCATTCATCTAGATTTATGTTCTCATCAGCACTTTTTGAAATATTTTTGTTTAAATAAA